TACTTGCTTCTGTGACTGCCTTGTTGGGGAATGCTCTCCTCATGTTTCTAATCCAGGTGGATTCCTGCCTTCACATCCTCATGTACTTTTTCCTCAGTCAGTTGGCCTTCATGGACATCTGTCAGACCCTCATCATTGTCCCTGAAATGTCAGCGGACTTCCTGATCCCAGGCAACCCCATTTCTAAGAAAAATTATTTTAAGCAAGCTTTCAGGTATAAATACATTTCATCAAGCTCTAAGCTTGCAAAGAAGAATTTTCTCCAACTATTTGAGATGGTCTAATAAAACTTATAAGATTTACCAAAAAAACCCTCTCTGCCTATGTCCCTAGACCAACATGGCTACAAGCTACACCCCTGAAATTGCATTTACTTTTATCTTTAGTAAAAAGTCAGAATTGAGATTATGTAACACGAGAATGGTGGTACTCTTATAAAAGATAAATATTTCCATAAATCAAAACAGCTATAATCAGGAGACGTATGGCAGCAGTACTCACTTACCTTCATCTGTCTGATCTAGTATCCTCTCTGCAGTCTTGAGGATGAGCTTAGCTAAGGGAAGGCACAAGGCTCTGGCCACTTGCTCCTCACATCTGACTGTAGTGGGGCTATTCTATGGGGGAACAATGTTCATGTATATGAGACCCAATGCCTACCACTTGCCGGACCAAGACAAGATCATACCCGTGTTTTATACCATTGTCACTCCAGTACTGCATCCCCTCATATACAGCCTGAGAAACAGGGATGTCTTAGGAGCCTTAAGAAAGCTGTTTGGGAAGTATAATTCCTCATAACACTTTGCCACAGACTTATTTGAATTGTAATGGTCATAGCAGAGGAAGCATTGGTTTTAACTGTGTTTAGATTTATTGTACTGAAGAATGGGTGAAATTCAATCCTGTGCAAATGGCTCCTAAATTCAATACACATTTTTTATTTTAAAATGGGAAAAATGCAATCTTCCTTTTCTTGAACAATATTTAATGCTTTATCCTCTAATGCATTGGGATATTTAATTCAGTTTCCTCTATTGACAGTATTCCTGATTTTTCCTTTCCCTGTTGCACATCATGTTGCACATGGGATTGTAGAGAGGCAGCAGCAGGGCGCCAGACTACCATGCGTAGACCCTGAGATGGTGCAGAGTCACTTGGAGGAACTGGATGCCTTTCAGTCGGCAGGCCCGGATGAGCTCCATCCGAGGGTGCTGAAGGCACTGGCGAGCAGATGAGGCTCTATAATAACTCTCTATATGAAGATGTGTGCAAAAACTGCAGCTTCTGTTCAGGGAGATTGCTTTGCATCCTTTGTCTAGAGGTGGGGTCTAGGACAAGACATTTTACAAAGGGCAAAAGTGAGAGGCAGGAGTTTTGTGTGGGTGCTATCTGTTATTGGACCAACTGTATGCTTGGGATGAAGATAGACAAGCTTTCAAGCACAAAGCATTCTTCATCATGTCTGAGAGACACCATGCATTCAAAAGCTTTTCTAACTTAACAAGACCTTTAGGAGCAGGAGGTGCTGGAGATCTTCAGGACCAGCTGATTTAAATACGTCCAGTCCCACCAGAAGTTCTCTGACTAGATCCTCACTGACCCTGGACCTGGGTGTGCCTCCCCTGGGTCCTTTGGGGGTCCCGGTGGGGGGGTGACCCGGTCCCTGCTCAGAAAAATGGAGGCAAAGAAATTGTGAAATAGGAGGAGAGGCTGAGGGAATTGGGTTTATTTAGTCTGAAGAAGAGAAGACTGTGTGGGGATTTAATAGCTGCCTGAGCTGCCTGAAGGGTGGTTACAAAGAGGATGGGGCTAGACTTTTCTCAGTGATGGTAGATAACATAACAAGGAGCAGTGGTCTCAGGTTGCAGCAAGGGAAGTTTAGATTAAATATTAGGAAAAACCTCCTCACAAGAAGGGAAGTAAAACACTGGAACAGGCTACCCAGAGAGGTTGTGAACCCTCCATCCTTGGAGGTTTTTAAGACCTGGCTTGCCAAAGCATTGGCTGGGATGATCTAGTGGGGATGGTCCTGCCTTGAACAGGGGTGGGACTAGATGTGACCTCCTGAGGTCCCTTTCAGCCCTCATTTTCTATGATTCTATAAAGGGAACTGACTGCGAATCAGACACATCAGGGTCAAAGGTGAACATAGCTGAGAGGATGATGTCATTTCACTCTGCTTTCCCAACATCTTTCTCAGCCTGTTCACTTAATAAATGCTCCTTTAATGTTACCAACTACTTGATAGGCATTTTAATTAATTCGGTTTAATGCTTCTTAGATAACCACTTACAAATGTCACATTTTATTCCGCCTCCTTTTTCTTCCCTGCAATTGAAAGTCTTCATACAGGACTAGATCCAGAAAGCTTTGGCTTTCTTCTGGCTCTGTAGTGGTCTAAAGCAGTGATTGTAAATGTATTTCCCACCAAGTTACAAAAGGCAGGCTTGTTAGTAAGTTCATATTTCACATGAATTAAGCACCTAGAGAGAAGTCAGACAGAAAAATGAACCGTAGGCTTATTTATTTATTTACATAATGAAGTAAAATTTAATTCTATTGACATTTATGTACATAATGAATAACCTGTGCATCGACAGAATTGGTGGCTAAGGTAAATTCCAAGGCTAATTTGGTTGTCAGCTACATATGTGAAGCTTTATCCATTATGTAACAGAAACCCTCCATGTAGCCGGGCAGGGGGGGATCAAAAGCAAAAAGTTTCACAGAAATATCACTGGGTTTAAGTTCAATGGGGTGAGACAGATAAAAAGTGAACAAAATTTTGGCCTGTAATATCCATGTATTACCCATGTACTCATTGCCTGCCGTTATTGGCAATGATTCATACATTCATAGATTCATAGATGCTAGGGTCGGAAGGGACCTCAATAGATCATCGAGTCCGACCCCCTGCATAGGCAGGTCTGCTAGCTTGTGGCCATTATTTCTTGTAACCCCCGGGGGCGCCTTGGTGAATAAATCCTCACCAATTCCCTTCTGTGCCCCCGTGGGGAACTTATAGGCAGCCACAAGGTCGTCTCTCAACCTTCTCTTGCGGAGGCTGAAAAGGTCCAGGTTCTCTAGTCTCTCCTCGTAGCGCTTGGCCTGCAAGCTCTTAACTATACGAGTGGCCCTTCTCTGGACCCTCTCCAGGTTATCCGCATCCCTCTTGAAGTGCGGTGCCCAGAATTGCACGCAGTACTCCAACTGCGGTCTGACCAGCGCCCGATAGAGGGGGAGTATCACCTCCTTGGACCTATTCGTCATGCATCTGCTGATGCACGATAAAGTGCCTTTGGCTTTTCTGATGGCTTCGTCACACTGCCGACTCATGTTCATCTTGGAGTCCACTAGGACTCCAAGATCCCTTTCCACTTCCGTGCCACCCAGCAGGTCATTCCCTAGGCAGTAGGTGCGCTGGACATTTTTCCTCCCTAGGTGCAGCACTGTGCATTTCTCCTTGTTGAACTGCATTCTCTTGTTTTCTGCCCACTTGTCCAACCTGTCCAGATCTGCTTGCAGCTGTTCCCTGCCCTCCGGCATGTCCACTTCTCCCCATAG